AAACAAAGACGGATAAGATTGCATACGGCTTGATGTGTTCCGAGCGGAGCGTCTGGGGGACTCCAACAACGATTGTGTGGAGTTCATGTTGCGGTCGCGGTACAAGGCAATATTCTCAGTTTTTGCTTGGCATAATCCATCTGTGATTCGTATCTGGATGGAGATTTTCAGTAAGGGAGCCGAGTCAGGGTCGGTGTCGATGTTTGCGGCGTCTGAACGAGTGGCGTTACCGTCACCGCAGAGATAAAGATGAAGTTGATCCAAATATTTTGACCACCTATTATGTTGGTGTCAAGCTGAGGCTGGAAGCAAAGGGGGGGGGGGGGTACGATGCAGTCAGTATTTCCAGTAAAAGGCTCACCTGTCGGGGTATTTTGATGAATAGTTCGGTGCACAAAGCGAGAGCATCAAAGCTGGCCCAATGAAACCAAGATTCTGGCGTAACTTCCTTCCCTTAAAGGGGCGATGCAACAATTGTTTGTACTTTGCGCTAATACCGCTTAGAAGGGATCTCTGCCGTTAACGACCTATCAAACACGCGTTCGTTTTTCACCCCACGCAATAGAAGTCCCAGAAAAAAATAAAGAAAAACGAGCAGCGTTTACCTCCTCAGCTCGCAGCCAAACCAAGCGGCCACGTGATCTGGAGCCGATTATATGGCGCCAATGTGAATCATAGCCACGTGCTGGGGTTGGCTAAGCACAAGACATGCGCTGGGTTCCGGACATTGTTATGGCTCTGCTATTGTCATCGTTGCAGCGATTGGACACGGGCCACTACCCGAATGCTTCTCGAGCTAGTAATTATCACGAGCCAAATCAAGTGCCCACGCAATGCTCGGGTCCAATATATGAACCGCATTCAGATATCGTCATTGAGGTGTACTGTGATCCCCACGTTACGTCATCAAATTTTTCGAAGAAGAGATTGAAGGCAAATGATCGCCTTTGTCCTTGAAATTACACAGCAACAAAAAAGTTTCTTGGCCACTGGCGTTGCGTGCGAGTATCTTTGAGTCCCACTAGCGCCAGTAAGCACGTGTAAAATGAAAAACATTCCAATTGATTATCGTTGCACCGCTCCTTTAAGCAGTTAACTGTGGGTTCACATCTCATGGCTGCTTTTGAGCACTGGCGTTCAGGGGTGTAGGAAGTGATCGGGACGTGGTGGAAGGGGAGAAGAAAGGGTCCCGTTTCCTTTTACTAATTATACTGCTGAAAATAAATATCTGGAAGGCAAAAAAGAACCGCTGTCTCCCCTCCCCCCCCCCCCCCCCCCCCCCCCCCAACCACCCTTTTCGATCTCTGTTTTATTGCGACTGAATAAACCTTGATTCTGGCTTGCGAATGCAGAAAGTTGCAAATATAGTCATCAGAGTAAAGTAAAACGATGCTCCAAAGACGAATACACTTTCACGCACGCTGCACGCGTGAAGCCTTCTGAAAGGGTTAACACATTCACACGGCGTCGATATTCGATCGACGCTTAAAGGAGCGGTGCAACGATATCCAATTGGAATATTTTTCACTTGACACGAGCTTACTGGCAACCTGGGACGCAACGCCACTAGCCAAGAAACTCCTTTGTTGCGGTGTAATTTCAAGGACAAAAGCGATCATTTTCATTCAATCTCTCCTTTGCAAAATTTGATGACGTAACGTGGGGATCGCAGTACACCCAAGTGACGATATTTGAATGCGGTTCATAGATTGGACCCGAGCATTGCGTGGGCACTCGATTTGGGCTCGTGACAATTACTAGCTCGAGAAGCATTCGGGTAGTGTCCTGTGTCCAATCACTGCAACGACGACAACAGCCGAGCCATAACAATGTCTGGAACTCGGGGCGTGTCCTGCGCTTTGCCAACCCCAGCGCGCGGCTATGATCAACACTGGCGGCATATAATCGGCTCCAGATCACGTGGCCGCTTGTTCTGGCTGCGAGTTGAAAGGGTGAATGGTGCTCGTTTTTCTTTAATTTTTTTCTGGGACTTCTATTGCGTGGGGTGAAAAACGAACGCGTGTTTCATAGGTCATTAACGTTAGGGATCCGTTTTAAGCTGCATTTGCGCAAATTACAAAAATTGTTGTATCGCTCCTTTAAGTGTGCGAAAGCTCAGAGACACGGCGCTTTGCGTACCAAGGTATGTCCTTTGACCACGGGGCCTAACATCGAGACGTGCGTTCGACGAGTTGTGCCTTTTCCTGCACTGCTGCGCTATCGTAAACAATTCCACTTGTTCTCAAAGGCAGCTGCGACGTTTTGCACAAAGTTTAGAAAATGTTCATAGGTGAATGACTGCGAACGAGCAGAAAAAGTGTATTTCAGCACGCGGCCGCCCAGCATCTGCAAAACTTCGCCCGTTAGTTTTAAACAGAACCAAAATAAACGTCCGGTGCCGGCATTTACGGAGTGGGGAAGCGCGAAACAGCAAATATACCTTTTGCAAAATCGAAGTAACCCTAGCGGCGTAGTTTCGCGCAAAGTATATTGTTTACCTTTGGGTCACCGTTTCGGTTTCAATTTCCCAACCTCCATTCACGACATCCCGTCACGACCACGTACAGTGCACGCGTTTTCGAATATGTGACGTTCCTTAAATTTATGGTCTTCACCAATACGGATAAAATGCTGGACAAGTTTTTGGGGCTCTCGAGGTATAAAAGTTTGTGCGCAGGTAAACAAAGGAAGAAAAATAAGTGTACTGGGGTGATTATCTCGTGTTCATCATCTCAATGTCCATGGCTTTTTAAATGATCCATGAGCCGGGAGGGTCATACTGCATTCTGGAGTGGTAACCAGGCCACCTGAGAGGTATGGGACGCGGCCGGGACGCTGCTCCATGCTAAGTCTAGGCTCGGTCCTTACCGCCGCTCGAGGTTCGTGTTTTAACGGGTGATCTCACGAGGACGAATGGGCGTAATGCAAGCGAGCGCTGACTTTATTTTGATGCAGTGCTTAGATGCAGAACTTCGTCAACGCGTCAATCGATATCGAAATCATGCCATCCCTCTCCATAGCAAATGAGGTCCTATGACGCAACCTGGGCAGTGTTGCATGCAGGGATTTGTGTAAGCATTCTATTGTCATAGAGTTTAGTGGTGGGAGTGGTGGGAGCGTGTACTAGAGGACAGTTCCCGTGAATCCTGTCGCTTACGCTGCCGGGATAAAGGAGAAAGGAGCCTATGCGGCCGAGATGCTTAGCGCCGGACGCCACCGCGCTTCGATACCGCAGCGGTCCCGCTGTGCTGTGCTGTGCTGTAAGTGCAAGAGGTGCTCGGCGCTTGAGTTTGGACTTTCGCTGTAGAAGCTAGCTTCCACCTTGACGGCTGCCATCTTTCCTGCAAGTATGCGGTCATGTTGCGGCCATGTAAGTGGTGCAACATGCAGCGGTGTTGAATGGCAGGACGAAAGATATCCGACGGCTAAACCCTTCATATTGGGCGGTACCATGCGTCATGGCTTTGGAATGGTTCCGGAAGCTGCCCCCGGTACCCGGTTCCGTGTAGGCGCTGTGGCCGCCTTAGAGTTCATATCTGCTAACTATAGAGGAAAAGGTCCGCCTTTTTCCCATGCATTCTGGCTGCCACAAGCGGCAGAGCATGAAGACAGACCTTTGGAGGTTTTTAACTGCCTTCGATTTCACGAATATGGTTATCATTAGAGCATCTTAATGAACTTCAACAATCCAGGTACTTACCGGTGGAAAGATATTCACATTCCTTTCGAAGCCTTCTTTTTGCATAGCGCGCAGGCGTATGGCATCGCGTCAACACAAAACTAAACCAGGTAAGGAGCTTCGCGCTATGGTTTTGATATCCGCGCCCCGGGAAAACGAAAGCGCGTAACCACCAAATTCCCGAGATTTCGACAGAAGGAAAGTTATAGATTTGAGCGTGTTGGTAATCTACATTGAATTAAAACGAAAGAAACACACAAGAGGACGAAACAGACGACACAGCTTGCAGCGTAATGAGTATATTACATTTTATGGGCGTTAAAATAGCTCAGAATTTAGTTTTCAACGTTAAATTATCAATTTTTATATTGCTAAGAGTTTTCAGTCTTTGCGATTACCATTCCGACTGTCGTCCTTCAGTTGGCAACATTGGTTTCTTTCTTTCGTGTTCTGTCGCGCTCTTTCGCGATCTTTCACTCGGTATTTCAGATGTCCGCGCACAGTATTTACCACTCCTCATTACCCACCTTTACACCTTTGGTAGCCGCTCAGAAAAGTTGCCGATCATTCGGCTGGCGCACCGTTCCCCTAGCTCGGATCTGAAGAGGCCCTTCCGGATTTCTCAGATTAGATTCAGAAGATTGGAGCACAAGAAAACGACCAGCCGAATATACCATAAAATTCACGTGGTCGTGCGAGAGGTGCACCGCACTTTGTCGCGTTCTTGAACGCCCAGCTTCCGACGCATTTCCTCCCTTAATTTCGACGTGGCGAGATACGAACATCCTAGCTTTGCCATTGAATAGTGCCGAGAAGAATTTTAATTGTCCAGCGTCTGACAGCTGCTATAGCACATTTCGACGATGGCTAAGTCTCTAATTAAAATATGTCACAATAGCCGACTGTGTAAAAAGTTTGTTAGTAAAGTTTCGGTATAAGAATGGCCAATAATTACTTTTACTTCGTACATCGATATTCGCCAAGTTCGAGACCTAGATCTCATATAAATATATATATATACATTTCTTTTACATTCTGACTGGTATTTTTCTATATTCCCAGCTAGTCTTTGGTAAAACGCCTTGCATACGTTAAACGAGTTAACAACCAAAGAGGGAGCATCACAGTTAGAATGATACTTTTCCCCTACTCTGAATGGCACTAAAGAACCAGGCTTACACTCTAAACTTTGAGCACAATGTAGCGTCATCGAAGGGCGCCATGAGCGGCTATACCAAATGCCAGCTGGGTCGTAGAACATGACTTAGATCAACTCAAATTAATTCAGTGTAAAGCGTACTGGCCGGAGTTCCGCTCTTACCAGACATTTTTGGCGAGGCTGTCGTTCTGGCACTTCCACGCTTTGGAACCGTAGACGGCTTCTCCGTTCAACCTGAGCCAGCTGCCGAGCTGAGCCAACCTCTCCTGGAAAATGGGCGCGATTCTGCCGTCGTGCGTTGGTCCGATGTTGATGAGGATGTTGCCGCCGCAACTGATGAGAGAAAGCACGAGGACGAACGAGCAAAATCAATAACACAGACTACCGACAGTGTAGTAAACGCAAGATGGAGAGGTGACATCTCTCCAGACTCATAAAGATTTTTATTTATTTACTGATTTCATACGGCGAAGCCTTTCGTAAAAACGCAAAGACGATTCATGACAACGGCGACATTAATCTTTACGTTGCAACAAAGTCTGATGGAGGGTACAAATAAAAAGCAAACCTTATCGTCTCAACGAGCGTAGCGATGAGCTTCTTAGTCGTAAGAAAGTCTGAGAGACTGGCGTTCCTTCGATAGCCCCAGGAGTTTTGGTCGACCGTCATGCAGTTTTCCCACTTGTGCGGCTGGAGGACGCCTGTGTTGAAGACCAACGAAATATTTCATATACTATACGCTATAAAATGGCAGAGCGGTGCGCTATTCTGTCACCGAGTATGTTCGAAAACCACCTTCACGCGTGCCGTAATTTCACCACGTTGGTGGCCATTAGTACTTGCTGTTTCCTACAGAAAAAAAAAAAAAAAACGAAACACAGAAGGGACATACTGACCGAAAAAAAAGAACACCATTACAATGACAGCAGATGTGACGTCAATGCCAGGCATGTGTGATATGGAGAACGTTGTGCATAACGCTGTTGAGGTTACTGGCGCGACCCTGTGGACTCATAGTCACTGATAAGGCGGGAACGGCATGCCATACCTTTTGAACGCCTCCAGCACGTGCTTGTTGCCTTACGTCGTGCTTCGGCTTCGGGTGCACGCTCGAGGCTCAAGAGACGCCAAAGCTTTATCGAATTTGGCGAGCGCGCGTTGGAGGCGGGTCAACTGAAACTCCTCCCTGCCATTCTGATGCTATCATTGACTACAGTAGCTTTGGCAACGTTGTTAAAATATGGTATAGGTGGTTCAAACTACCGCCCAGATAAAAAAAGATTAAAGCGTTAGCACACCGTTTATACCATAACTGGACACTCAATTGTATGCATAGTACCACGATAGATTGCTGTTGTTGTTATTGTTGTCTTCTTGGTTCCTTCGGGCCGCATTAGACGAGGCCGCTGTAGATGCCCAATTTATCTTACCTTTTTTTTCTGCCAAAGAAAAATGCCCGTACATCTGCTTTAAAATGAAGTATTTGGAAAGCCAATGGACCGTGTGTCGCTTAAAGACGACGCTAAGCGCAAAAAAGTAAACTACGGTTGGCGTGGAAGGCGGTTCGCGTTCCGAACGCCAGTCGCACTTGCTGCTTTCACCGCTGTTGAAGGAGGGTCTCCTCACTTCTAGAACTCTTCAAGAAGTCCATTCTTGCGATTCACAACCTTGCCAATCGGCCTTGGCAATTCGCGAGGTCAAGAACAGATTCATCGTCAAAGTAAGCCTTAGCGTTGGCAGTGAGCATGCTTCAAAGGCTCCGGTAGTGCGGTGCGCGAGGAAACACGGTAACGGTTTGCTAAATGTCCCTATTATTATTAGGTCCGTAAATTGCTGTAACTTGTTTCACAGGTGCTTCTCGTGGAAGCACGGACATTCCAGAATCTAGCATGTGTCCACAGGCTGGAGGCAATCCGGCAATCCTGGTAAAAACAAATAGGGCGCAGCAAGCCTTGTAACAAGCGGTCTTCTAGGGGGGATGATCGTCGTCTTTATCTTACCGGGGTTGTAGCGATTATCGCAGGTGAAGTATCCCCCGTGCTTGCAGACGCAATCGTTGCCCCAGCGGTCGTTGGTGACCACCGTGTCCTTAACTGGGCTGCACAATGCGACACCGTCAATATCCGTTATACACCCCCCCTCCCTTTTCCCTATAAACAAGAGGACGAACATGGCCCTTCCTAGGACTGTGCACTTGCATTCTCTTCCTTTTAAAAAATAAACTATTACCACACTAAAAAAATGTCCGCGCGACCGTTCCTTGCCGAGTTTGCGGTCACGGAACCGTAGACTTGAGTGCAAATTGCGTGCGCTGGCAAGAGCTAATTTAAGTGGCCGTCCTTGATCAGTGCCGCTGCGTCACTCGCTTGTGCACCATCGGTACGGCCTGGCGAAGCCCAGAAATGCAACGGTAGCTCAGTTAAGACTTTGCTGTGCCACCAACTGCGCTACACAACCGCATACGATTGGTTCCGGGGAGATGCTCTGCCGGGTTTCAATGGCGACAGAAGGCCGCGCGAGATGAGCAAAGCGTTGGAGTGAAACGCCAGGGGCACAAAGCAATACAAGGTAACAAAGACAACGGAAAAGTTTGAAGACCCATTTCACAATATAGCGTTTGATCATATTTCTGGATACGTTTCTGAGACATTCAGATACATGAACGGGAGTGATCTGGACGTCCGTGATTTGTTTGAAGGGTGAATACTGATCCAAGGAGTCGCCGATGTTGTCGATAACTTGCATTCTACGCTACCTTTCTCACACTTGTGATGTGAGAAAGGTGGCGTCGTCATGTGTGAGTTTTCCGAGAACAAACTTCAGTTGTAAGTTTCTGTTCGCTTTGTGTTGTTTGTTTCTTTTACTTGTCCATTGTTTTTAGCGCTTTTAACCTGAAAAACGTGGATCAAACGCAATTGAACGCTGCCTTGTGAATGGCCCATTACCAAAGAAGCGTTCGGCTACAACTAAGATTGGTTAAATGCCCTTTAAACAGGCTTAGAACTTCCAGTCACTGTAGACTATTCCAGCCAAAAATATTTCGGACTTGGTAACAGATTTATATCGTAACTGCAAGAGGGGCAAAATGTCTGGGTGGTCCCAAATAAACGAAAGCTATGTACACTTAACGTCTTGACACTAAGCCGTAGCATAACTGGTTACCCAAACAGCATGATTCTTTCTAAATATTTAAAAAAAAAATGTGTGGCACTACCAAAAATTTACGGCAGCAGCCAAATTTTAAAGCTGAGGTGACAAGTCCAAAATGTATTGAGAGAGTCGCAATAATAAAGTTTTCCTGGCAGAAAATAAAAACATATAGACTGCACAATGTAGTTAATGCAAACACGATATTGTTGTTTTTTCCTATGAGAGGTTATTGACGAAACCTATATTTCACCAGCTAGATTATTGACCAGAGAAAATAGCAGGATAAACCGATGATCGCTTCATCGTGCCAATAGTGCCACACTTTGTGCACAAATTTATTCACTGTGTAACAAATTGGCTCTACGTTAAAAAAATCTTTCTTTATAGTAGACAAGCTGGTTGACCAACTGTTTCATCCGTGTCAACACACCTGTCATTGTAGAGCCAGGCGAGGAACTCCCGGCTTTTCCAGTAGTCCGCTGGTCCCGCCGCATAGCCGTCTGACCAAACCACCTCAGGCTTATATCGATTGACCAGATCGAACAACTCCGGCATCGTTTTCGTCTGGAATTGGGAGCGAAACTTGCTGATCCGTTCGCCCGCGTATAACTTGTGGGGTCGTTCAGGGTGGACAGTCACCTATAGTCCCATACGGTCGACGGGCCGGATCAGCCGGCCCTCCAAGGTCAAGAGTATTGACCGGACGTTGTTTGGGCTCGACTCAGAAAGAGTGATCATAAAAAAAAAATCATCATAACCTCGGAAACTGAAGAAGCATAGCCCTTATTTACTCTGCGTGTTAGATGCGTGCACTGGGCAAGCTCTCTAAATAAGTTAGACGAGATGTATTTCTGAGCAGGCAAGCTGTCGACTGAATTTTAAATATTATAGCATTTTAAATCCAATATAATTTCTTTCGTACCGAGGCTTATCGGACTATCGCGAGTAAGTTGCACACTTTGCGCAATACTGAAATGCGCTCGTAAAAACTATAATATTATTTTTAACGACTTCGTTCCGAATGCGACAAGGCTGCATTCTTCAAAGATAAAAGAAGGGAAAATGTGGGTGTATAGCGCAATATTGCTTACCTTCACAAAGAAATCCGTCGTAAAGTTGTTGCTCTTGTCCAGCCGGTAGAGAGGATTGAACCACTCAAATAAGGAATAATATAAGCCGAAGACGAGATTGTTCTTGGACTGGATGGCGTTCGCCAGCTCACCTGTGTTTTGTAATGGAGAGAGAAAGAAAAAAAAAAAAGAAAAACGGGTATTTGTTGCGCAAAGTATATTGCGCTGTTTTGCTACTTTTGGGAGGTTAAATCCAGACTTATACGGTACTGGTTATCAAGTAATCACATTATTTGTAATGGATTACTTCTCGTAGTAATTTTGTATTTCCTTGAATAAATTTAATAGAAAGGAATCACAAGAGTAATCCGATTATTTTTGGAAGTACTACAATTACTTTTTACCGTCACTATTTTTCCCTCTTATCTTTAATAGTCACCCTTTGTGTCTACAAGATTTCAACACAATAATTCTCAAACCCTGCGTTCCACATGAGGGTGATAGAGAAATATTGGTGAATTAAAAAGATAAGTGGTTCATAATTCAGTGATTATAATCCAGTAATGGAGTACGAAATACCCGTTTTCAAACCTGGAGGAAAATGTGTCCTTTTGAGAATCTGAATAAAGCGAAAAAGTAATGGTTAGTTTTCCAAGTAATGGCGAAATATTTTCCTTCCAAAATAATCGAGTAATATAATTGAATACTTTTAAAGCGAGAGTAATTGTAATGGATTACTTTTCCAGTCACGTGCAGAAGGCTGGTTAAATCTGCTTATATTGTACGGTCCATGCACAAACAAGACAGTAGCAGAAGGAATTCGGCTGAGTCAGTGTTTGAGGAAACAAACGATAGGAACCATATTTGCGTTAGCGGGATAAATCATGAACATTTGGCAGGAGTAGGAATGACGGCGGCCACATTTCAGTTGAAACTAATTGTAATGAAAAACTGAAAATTATATTCTATTTTCTTTCTAATAAATGCTTCTTTTTATATATGACATTGTATGGTTGCCTGTCATTTTTTTGTATTTTTATTATATACAACTTAAAGTTGTCATGAAAAGAAAATGTATCTGCCGGTCCTTAATTTTCTTATACTCATGAAATCATAGAGACGTGGATTTCGAAGTGTGACGCCGAAATATTGCATCTGCATTTTATAAAAATGTCTCGAAATCACTTTTTTTTTTTTCTTTTTACTTGTTGAAACGACGTGCGACACCCCTTGGCAACATTAGCAAAAAAAAAAAAAAAAAAAAAAAAACGTCATGATAACTATGTAAGAGGGTTCGACATATATTCAACTTTAATCTTCAAAACAATAAATTGGGAGGAATGAAACCATGCAGCTATTCAGTGGCGTTCTTATATTAATTGTACGCCAAAACATCACGTGATCGCGGTACACTTTCGGTTTCATACAGATCCAAGCATTGTGTCGTTTGGTAGCCCTCGAAACTATGCTGCTTGTCCCGTCGCGGCTTGCATTCACTGTAGAATACGGTTGTGGAACCTGAATATATGATTATAATTATAATAAAAAATCGAGTTAAGCAACATACACTTATATAACCCAACGGGATTCAAACGTGGAAGTTCGCGAAAACAGTTGGTAGGAGAAACGCGCGCGCGTGACAAGTTCACCATCTGCACATTCCTTTTCAGGTTGCTTATTTTGAAGGCTTGCCATAGGACGCAATATTTCGGTGTTTGCCGCGACCGGCCAGAGCGAGCTCTTTTTTTTTTTTATAGTTTTCTTTTTCGCAATTTTCCTCAGCAGTAACCTTCGCGTATATTTTCAGCCTTCTCGTCTTTTTTCTGCTAGCAGAACAGCACTTCTCTGGTCGAAGCGAGAACGTATTCGCAGCTCATCCTTCGATGATAGCATCAAGCTGCAGCCTGACCGGTCCAAGTTGGAAACGATTCTTCACAAACTCTCCTCTGTAGCACGACATACGGTAGCACAAACAACGTATACGGTGTCAGTGTACCGTTCGAAACCTAGAAGCTGACCTGATGTAATAGTTGGCGGTAGACCGGCGAGAGGTCGACGAGGTCGGCCAGCTTTCAATTATCAGGGCATAATATCGGACGTCAGATGTCATCTGTTCATTTGCGTGCGTGACGTCATTATGGTGCCGCTGTTGGAACGATATCCGGCGCTCTGGCTTCGCCCATAGACTCCAGTCTACGTGGGCGTCTTGCGCAGACAACAATAATTTTCAAAATGGTTACCTACGAGTAGAAGAAGATTGTGTTGGTGGGGAACAAGATTGAAGAAAGATTTATCATCTTGGGAGAAGACGACAAAGCCACATTTTTTCTTCTTGCGAGTTCAAAGATAGGGTTGTGCCGCCTTCGTCCAACATGACTGTTATTTCTTCGATTTTCGCAATTTTCGTTACCTATTGTGACATATTCATAGAATTGAGATGGAAGCTCCCAGAGAAACCGAAATTACCTTTTTCGCGCTACTAAATGAAGCCAGACGGTAAAAAGAATGAACGTGGGTTACTTTAAGGGCGCCGTGAAACGATTTTTCTACTTTCGCTAGATACTATTCAAGATCACTCCCTAACGTTAATAGCCGAATGAACTTGCCGTAGTTTTTCTTTCTAAGCAATTGCAGGCGGCAAATAAATTCGAGAAATATGAGAAATATGGGTCAAAACAAAATACGCTACAGTAACAACCAGGTAAGTGCATTAATTTATCTGGTCTACATCAGTCCATTACGGTTGGTTAATCATTGCATGTAGCCCCAGCTGCTTGCGCGACTGACTGAAGATTTTGCTTTCTACCGAGACCTAGCTCCCCGTTTTGCCGCAACGCCTCATATTGCTAGTTTTTCCATACCACGGTGGAGGCTACAGCTGCACCATGCTAGCCCGGCCTGACCCGATTACCTCCAACGGTGACGTCACGGGAGGAGAGCTCCGGCCTTGATTCTAGGAAGTATTGTATGAGGATGCTGTAAGGGACTGAGAAATAAGGGTACGTCGGAAGTAAAAGTTTAAAAAAATTAAGATTTTTACAACTCCCGGTAATGCCGAATCAGAGCGCAGCTCTTGATGAACAGGCGGGGAGGGTACTGAAGGAGGGTATGCCCCTCCCCCTTTTCCGTACCCTCTCCTCCTCCCCTCCTACTTTCCTCCTCCTTCCCCTCCCCCTCCTCATTTTCTCCTCCTCTCCCTCCTCCTCCCTCTCCCCCCCTCCTCAGCCCTCCTCCCCCTCTCTCCTCATGCCCTAGTGACCCTCGTGACGTCACTCGTGAAGGCCTTGTGAAGGTCGTGACTTTCATGAGTGAATGTCACTTAAAGGTCGTGACCTTCACGAGTGACGGTGACGTCACTCGTAGCACTCGTGACCATCGTGATGTCACTTGTGTCCCTCCCAACCCTGGTGACGTCACGCGTCACGTCATGGGTTACGTCATTATGCGAAACGTCCCGTGATGGAACGCGCGGGTCACTAGTTGCGTCACTGGGAAACCTCGTGACGTCGCTGGGACCCTGGTAACGTCACTCGTGACCATCGTGACCCGCGCGTTGCATTATTAGACGTTTCCACTAATAACGTCGCTCGTGGCCGTCGTGACGTCACTTGTAACTCTCGTGACCCTCGTGACGTCATTATGGGAAACGTCTCATAATGCAACGCGCGGGTCACGAGTGAGACCCGCGCGTTGCATTATCCCGTGCAAAAATGGTTTGTGGCCGTCTAGGAAAATTCTATGGCAGATTATGACTTCCTATGACCCTCCATGGTCGGCCATAGAAATCCATAAATGCAACTGCAGTCAGCCATAGAAAAATATATGGCCCTGTGACTAAAGACTGGGCGGCAATGAATTTTCTTAAGCCGCTTATGAAAAATTCTATCGCCACGATTCTAAAAACTGGGAACCAATAAATTGTCTTTACTCGTCTACAAAAAAATTTATGGCCCTGAGTCTAAAAACCTCCGCGGCCGCCGTGAACATGTTAGGCGGTGAAGGTATCTTGAGGGCTTGGTTGCCGTCACCTAGAGCGGTCTCACTACTACGGTAAATACAGCGGAGGCCATAACGGACTGCGTATGGAGTTGCGGGAATGACTAAACGATCTACTAAAACTCTCAAGACGGACTTTTTAACTTTCTCACTTGGGCAACTTGATGTTTTCAAGCGGTTGCATTATGTCACTGAAGACAGTCGAATTTTAGTCGTCCGCTGCGATACCAGTCATGGTTTGTGGGTGTTTATCACTCCCGGCACTTACTTTTTATAGGAAAAACGCTCCAGGTTAGAAAATTAAAACAATACTAAATTTCTGTTATACCGATGACAACGCATGACCCAAGGTATGTTGTCTGCTGTTGCAACGCTTCTTTAAAACCAGTGATATTGTTTGTATGAAAAATTCATTGAAATATTTATGCAACAATTAAATCATTTATTACCCAAAAACTGAAAATAGATTACACTGGCACTGAACACAGCAATAATGCAATAGCTTGATTACAACGTTCAGCATTAGTGTACTACATTTCAACACTGCATTGTCAACATGATTCATCAAACTTATTAAATAGATAAATATTAAATTTTAGTTAATTAGCCTAATGATCTGGATTTTCGTTGCTCAGGGTATTAGGGGCAATTCCAAGAGAAAATTACAAATAATGTATTAAGTACGAGTCATCTCTGCTCCGCCTCTCCGTGTTTATACGACAAATGATGGCAGTCACCGGAAAAGTCGTATTCTAAAATAAGACTGCCTATTTATAGAGCTAGTGCGAACCTAGCGTACGTAGAGAGGGGGTGGGGGTTCAGTGTCGCTGCGTTGCTGCTGTTGGTGGGGGGTGGTCTGGTTGTGTTTTGTGTATTCTGTGTGTTCAGTGATGTACGTGCATCTACCAGGTAACAGTGTTCAAAAGTCGGAGGAACTGACCATATAAATCGCTAAAGGCATCAAAAGAAAAGCCATAGGCAGCTATAGCGTGCAAGCTACACTCGAACTCAACTCTGTTACGTCACGGCGCGGTGGTGGCGCGTCAGGCGCACTTCCGGTCTGGGGCTGTGGGCGGAAGTCCCCATGTAAGACTTGTATTCCTGCGTTGTTTTGAAAGGAAACAGAAAAAAAACCTGCCTTCTCGTCAAAAGGCCGCGACTGGGGCTGTGCCAGAAGAGTCGAGAAGGTTTGAAGGTCAGTTTTCATGTGCTCGGTTCGTCCGAGAACGTTGATATGTGCCGTGAAAAGGGAAAACCAGACGCCGTCGGACCACGATTGCTTAGGCGGGAAGCACTTTGAGTTGAATTCACGGATATTGTGTCCATCAGATTTATTTGTTTTGTTCCAACATGAACGCCGGAAAACCGTCAAGTTGTACGGACCACCTGTGGACTACGTTCAGTTCGTCTTCAAGTTCAAACGGCCGCCTGATCGTTCGAAATGTCGTCTGCTCTTTCAAACGCTTCTGCTTGTCGTCTGCTCTTTTAGACGACATCGGCCCGTAAACCAAATGTTGGCCCGGTACTTGCGATAACGAATAAGTGCATGCCTCAAAAGACTTAGGTTTGAAGGTTGGTAAGCAGGCTCAAGGTAAACAGTAGATACAAGGAGATGTTGTTGATTGTTACCAGTGGCCATCACAAACTTGTTATGCCTGATTCATTTGGTCCGATTCTGCTTGCGATGTTCAGTGTTGACGTCGACCATCTCAGCTACGGTTCACGCTTTTGCAGCCCGAGTGACGTCGCGACTGAAAATTGAGAGTGAAATCTCATCATGCGAATCAGGCTCTAAAGCGTGTTTCACATGAAGTGATTTTGGCACTAGAGCGGCGCGATTTCTGCCGTCGCGGCGGTCGTACCGCTCAACCGCTGGTGCTGGCCAGAGCGCCGCGACGGCAGAAATCGCGCCGCTCTAGGGCCAAATCCGCTGCATGTGAAACACGCTTAACGTGCATTCTGCGGCGTCCACGCGGCATGAATCGCCGCATGTAACATTATTCACGCGACCTTTTGCAATGTAACGAGCCTTGGTCATTTCGCTGAGGCCGCTCAAGTAGTCAGACGTTCCCAGGAAGACGTAGAATCAACAATTCGAACGCAGAAAAGGGCAGGGGGTCTCATATTGACGCCGACAACCTCGCATTTCAATGGTTTGTTTCTGGGCGACGGCGAGCTTCTTGCCCACACTCCATCGCGAATGCGCGGCGCCGGTGCTGTCCGCTAGGGGCGCTCGGGTTTGTTTGTAAACATGAGTTGGTCTATAGAGAGCCACAGGACGACCCAGGACACGTAAGAAGCTAGAAATGGATAAAGCAACCAAAGAAAAATATATAGATCGCTAAAGTAACCAAAGGAAGATCTATAGACAGCTATAGCATGTCGGGCTAAGAAAGCTGTTGAATAAGCTATATACAAGTTTTTTATCAGCTATTAAAAAGGCTAAAAAGCGCTATGGCTGGACAGTGATGGGAGCAGAGACAAAACTAAAGAGGCCCATAAAGGCGACCATAAAAATACTACAGACAACAATAAAAAATTCTATAGCCAATTGGGCCAAATAGCTAATGCCGACCACACAAAGAATTTTCTGTAACCGACCATAGGACATTTTTGTAAGGGATGGGAAGTTTCTCATAATGCTACGCGCGGATATGTCGACGCCGACGACGACGCGGACGCCGACGGCGTCAGCAACGGTGACGCCGCTCAAGCCGGAAACGGGCGCCTAAGAGCTGCGCTCTAAAACGAAATGTACGTCGTTTTGTTTTTTAAGAAGTGTCCAAGAATCTAAGGGCGCTACCGCCCTTTTATCATTCTGCCCTCCCCGCCATTTGGCGGCCTGCTCTGGCGTCGAAGGCGCAGTATTTTTACCACTTATAGGGGGCTATGCCACCAGCCATATTTCCACAAACTCATGTTTTCGACAAAAAAAAAAACAACGTAATCTATCGTTACGTATAAAACGCTCATTCATTTTTGGAGCACAGGAATAAATATACCTACCCACTAAATCTCTTTTCGGTCCAATGTCCATGGAGTTCCAGTTAAAACTCGCGTTAGAGGGCCAAAGAGTGTAGCCTTCGTGGTGCTTGGAAGTGAGAACAACATACCTGTAACAAGAGTCGACCATAAATCCAACAATGAGACTTCCAAAAAAGCTTAAGCTTCCGCGTGCTCTGCAAAACTTTGCTAAACATATAAAATAGAGCAAAAAAGAAAAGGACAAGAAGTATACAAGACAAGCCCTAACTTTCAACTAGTTTTACTGAGGAAAGGCAAAGCTTATATACACACCACGGGCGACCGCCCTACAAAAAATGAAGGAGTTTAAAAGAAAGGTCCCAACGAGGCAGAGAACAAGAAGACCAGAAGTTATTTCGTACATCCACAAAGTTGCTCACTATCTGAAGAACGTTGCAAGCAAGTACGATGTTCCGGTGGTGTTCTCTGCCCCAAAAAAGTGGGCTAGGTTGTGCTCCCGCATTTTTGATGAGAAGGCAAAGAGGCTATGTGATAAGAAACACGTTACCCCTCACGTACACTGCGCAGTGGGTGTGGTCTACGAAATCCCACTGAGTTGCTGTAGGTATACATCGGCCAGACGGGGCGGCGCATGAATGACCGAGCACGGGAGCTCGCACTATCAGCACAAAATAAATATGGCTCGCATTTCCCTATACATTCCAACACGTGATGCTGTGGTCCGTGACTTCAGCAGATAAGAATTCTAGGGAGAAGCCATGAGACGGTCACTCGTGAGCTATTGGAGGCATTCTTTATAAACAAAAAGAAGAGGGGCGGCATGTGTTAGCGACACTTCTATTGTGCTGCATAGAAATTAATTTCCGTTTTTCAATGATCGGCTACTAAATTGATCAACCTTTATGTGTTGCTGCTTCGCCTGTGGTGTGTATATATGCTTCGCTTTTTCTCAGTAAACCTAGTTGAAAGTTGTCGCTTGTCCTGTATACTTCTTGTGCTTGTCTTTTTCGGGGTATTTTATATGTTTACGTAAGATGAACCAACTAGCCCAACAACGTACCCTACTCAAACTTAATTCGTTCGCCCCACAAGACATACGACCGTTGCATTCCTCTGCGTCTCAGTGTTTTCTGCCAACGGCCATCGAATGGTTCATGCTTTGCGTGTAGTCTCGCAACCTCTTCGCTTCTATCTACACAGAAACCAGTGCACTCCCCCTCCATGGCTTGCTGTTTCCCAAAATGCGACGCGCACAGCGTTACGTGCAGTAATTTGCGAAAGTGGCCTGATAATTATGATAGCTACCACAAAAATACAGGGGGCGTTATTGTCTGAACGTGGATTCTAAACATTCCATCTGGGCCAATTTGGTCAACCTCAATCCGTAGATAAAATGCAAATATCCGTTGATTTCCGAGTTTCATTTTCACTGGAGCTGAAATTACTAACTCTTGGGGCTCTAAACTCATTAAAGACAAAGTGGGGGACAAAGCTAACAGAGCGCCTTGATTGCATTCTCGCGACAATGACGCCGTACTTTTGTCGCCGAAGTCAAATTGGCGCGCCCCGCCAACTTTCGGTTTCAATTGTGTGTTTCACGAGTTCAGTGGCACTGGCGTCAGAAAAGATGACGAACTTAAGTTTGGGATAAGGCCTTATTTAAAGGTGGAATAAAGGAATGAAGCGTGCATCTATCGACTCACGATGTAAGTTATTTTATGCAGTTTTCAGTCATTTCACGCTAGATTTCCTTGCTTTAATCGCGGAGGCGGAATATCGAACGTTTGGCCTATATTTTGTTCGCAATATTACCGCTTGTGAAATACGGGGTGGCGGGGCAACGGTGGCAGTGTTGATGTAGACATTTCCTAGATTCTCCTAACGAGCGAAGTTTATATACGGAACTAATTAAAGTGGCGATGTAGGCGAGCTGGTTCATGACTATGGATGAGGTGTATAGACCTTTGTCCGGAAGTGCTCTTTTTAGCCTCGTCCGCAAGGAGCAAAAGCGAACAATGATCTCGAACCGAGACGCTCACGGGGAGGGGGGGCTGCGTCGGCCTGCGCCGCCGGTTCCTGTTGAGGGCTTCTTCGCTGGTGTGCCGACTGCCGTTTCGCCGGCATCGGTCCTGTTTACCGCGGTATGTGAGTATAGTGCCCGTAATGTGAGAGCCGTGTGTCCATACGCCACTTTGCCGTTGTTGGTTTTCATCTAGCCGAGCCAGAAAACATCTCGCGACGAGTTGACCGCGCCGCGAGTGACGAAGAAGCAAACATGGCGACGGTTTGTGCGATTGCTTTGGTGGCTCCGGTGTTGAGTGTCTTCAACGTCCTCGTGAGAAGGTTCCCCTGCTCTTCGAAGTTATTGCAAGCACCACGAAAGATGTGGAATCATCGTCTCAACTACAAATAAGCAGGCCTTCACGAGCAACAACGGTGCCGAGCAGGCGCTCGGCACATTTGTGTCAGGCTCACGCAGCCAGCGGCACAGTTGTGTTGGTTGTGTCGTCAGATGTTCAACAACGCCGAGGTATTTTCATTTATCATTTGGAATGGCTTCAAGAGTGGGAAATTAATCTATTTCGCGGATTGTTAACGCCGAGGCGAGTGCCCTCCGTTGCAGCGCCGTCGTCGCGCAAAGTGCAGAGAAAAGCGGGTGGCGATGGCGGCGGTGCTCTTTGATCTTGCGCCGTCGGGTTCATGAAGTCCGGAGTAAACGTACGTACGTGCGTCTGCTGGATCGGTGTTTTGGACTTCCTCAAAACTCTTTCTCACGCGCATTTTCCTTGTGAAGCTTAGTAGCTCATTACACCTCATCGTCGACTGCGCTCATTTGACTACGACGGACGAGCCTGCGTGATGTGAATTTCACTGCCCAAGATCCATGGTGTGCTGTAACGAGGGCTAATAAAATATCACCGCGAACTTCTGAACAAACGAGTCGAAGTTTCGTCTGCTATCATAACTGATCGCCTGTCACAATATTAATCAGTAGCGTTCCTAGACTCCGCCCCCACAGGCACCGTGCTTCGTTGCCCGATAGTAAGTGTCTCCTGGTACCTCGTAGAATTCCAGCTCCCACTTCAAGTAAGTACCATCCTTTAGAACTGGCAATTAATAGTTTCGAACCCAGACGCTCGCAGTGTGTGTGTGTGGGTGGGGGTGGGGGGGTGGGGGGGGGGGGGGGGACGGGACGCGGGACGCGTGCTAACATACTCGGAGCCCTCGTTTACGCCGCTTCGCAGCTGCAGACAAGGCGCCACATTACAAAAGAAAGCTAATCCGAGCTGTCTATGTAACTAAACCCATTCGCTAGTCATTCGATGAAACGTCGTGGTCTCGTTTTCATTCGCTAAAACTGCGTTCGATCAAGTGAACGCCTCCCACTTATTTCGGCTCGGCAGAGCCGCGCTGCCGCAGAAAGGCAAGCAGATCGCGAAAATTGGTCTCAAACGTGCCACGAATGTAATGTCGTATACAAGAAGCCAACAATCAAGCATTTGAAAGCTACAAAAAAGCGGTAGCGAAATATTTACTACGCAATGAAGCCGGACTGAAACGCGGATGTCAAGGGTCAGCAGACACCGAGAACATCTAACAAGAAAGGTTTTCCCTTATTTTCCTTAATCGAGATGGGTTCTCGAATGTTCACGACATCTTGCCTGTTGAAGAACGGGCCGCAGAAGCTTCTGGTGAAGACATCTTTCACGATGTGTCGGTGCATTCGGACAGCCTGCCGCATCCAGCTACCCAAAGCAACGCCGCCAACGCAGCCCCCCCTCCCTGCCTGCCAGTTCTTTCCGCGTGGTGGCGCGAGCGTAGATAAACATGGCGGCGCCCCGGAATTGGCGCGGACACTGGTCTATAGGGGCCACAAAAAAACGTAGACGGAGAGAATAACACAAGACGAGCGCTAAAATAAACACTCGTCTTGTAATAAAAAATCGGCTCAAGCAGCAAAAAAACAACACAAGAAGTGAAATGTACTTTATAAGGTGACGCCAGTGTTCAAACGCATAAATAAGATAAACTTCCTTTTAGTGCAAAAAATTGAGGCCTGGCTTACGCAGTTCCAGTGGCACGCCTTTTCTATTGCATATGCTTCCAGCACCTCTATTGCTACGTTATCGTGGCCCCTACCAATGATGCAAGCATTATGTACTACGTTAGGGTGACATATATGCAGTCCCGATAACAATTAAGTGTTCGCCCGTCGTTTACCGACAGGTATTGCTCGCGAATCCGTTCATTGACGCATCAGCCTGTTTGGCCAATGTGAACCTGGTCGCGTGACAAAGGGATTATGCAAACAAAGACGACGGCGCAGTCCACAAACATCTTTGAGTGTTTGACAGCACACGGAAGCCTATGTTTGGTTACTTTATATATTCGCGGCCATAGTTGTGCCAACCTGCGTGGTGTCGAGAATACAGGTCACCCAACACTTGCACAAGGCATCACACAACCTAAAGCGGGTGACGCAACATTTTAATGTACCGCTTGTATTCGCGAATAAATTATACCACAGATAGGCTTCTAAGTGCTGTCAAACACGCAAATAAGTCTCTGGACTGCGCCATGGGCGTTGTTTGTTTGCAAAATTCCTTTGTTGTGCGGCCGGGTTCACATCGGCCAAACAGGTCGATCTGTCATATCAAGGAATGCGCCAGCATGACCTGCCACTGCGGTCAGCGACAGGATGACATTTACATATTCATTGTCGGGATGCCTGTGTCACCCTGACGTCCATAGAGTCTTGAGCCTATCTCAAATGCGCTAATTGAAAAACTGTATTTCAAATACATTCGGTATACTTTTTGGTTTTTTGTAAATACATTTGACGGAGAGTGTTTGCTAATCTATCCTACTGGGTTTTTTTTTCTTTTATTATCTAGTAATGATCAACTCCAATGACATGTTTTAGCGCTCGAAATGTGTCGCTAGAATATTTTTCGGGAATAGGAATCCGCACACCCCAAGGAAAAGCTGAACCGTAGCGAACTTGGACCGCAAATGACTGAACACAAAAAAAAAAGAAAAACAAGACACGAACATACGAGCTCAAAATACCAACATCCACAAAACAAAAAAAAAAAGAAGAAAATAAGGAAATATTAAAAGCAGACCTAATACCTTTTTTTATTATTACGGTATCAAGAGATGCGGAAGTACTTTCGAAGTTAATTGAATTTCATTTCTAAGCATTTGTGATCTACTCAAGATATTTTGTGCTGAAAGTAACTTGATTACGACTCTAAATACTTTCTGAAGCTAGTTTAGTTACTTTTGGTGAGTATGTTGTCCAAAACTTCTTCCAAAAAAAAGTCTTGCATCATTTATAGGGGCAGCGATAAAGTGGCAGGAGAGGTGCTGGAGCGGTGCTGCGTCAGTCAGCCCTCAATTGTTTTGCACTAAAAGAAGTTGATTTTATTGCTAAGTGTGAACGTGCGATTGCATACGTCACCTTTGACAGTTAATTTTGCTTTTTATAGATTTTTCTCTTCAGGAATTTATTTGTCAATAAAAGCACAGTTCTTAGTTGAGCGCTCGTCCTGCGATCTTCTCTCCGTCTTCGTCTCTCTGTGAGATATATTTAATATATTTACCTTATCTATATCTACGGCCCTGTGCACGGCACGAGTCGCCATACAATGTTGCTCATATCAAGCGAGATAATAAAAAAATTAAAAAAAATGTGCTGACATTAGGTTTTCACTGCAACAGAAGTTATTGGCGAGGTTGCACAATGGTGGTTTCGCAGCGGATCGCCGTCTGTGTACAGAGTGACGCACTATATTGCCACGCGCGTTGGCGAACAAGCGCGTGCATGGCCGAGTGATTACCACGCTTGACTTTCGCGCGGGAGCTGTAGGTTCAATTCCAGTCAGCGGACTGTCCTTTTATTTATTCTTTCGATTTGGCCTTCTCGTAAGTTTGAGAACATTTTCGTCTGATCGAGTTCCAAATATTCTACGTACCGAAAGTTCTACGCCGGATGATCCAGAAACCCACGAGGGTACATAAGGGACTCCGCAAGGCTAGAAGAGTCAGTCTCGCTCCAGCGATCGATCCTGCTGTTTTGCCGACATCGACGCCTGCGACGCTATTTTACTTTTCTTTTCTTTTGGGCGCAAGTTCGCCTCATTAAACGTTTAGTTTCTTTAGTTATTCTTCATCTCATAATTTCTCATTCGTGACAATATTTAGCAGGGAATCACAGTCTCACCTGACACTGTGACGCCACGCGAAGCTTTTTCCCCGTAAATTTAGCGTAGGTATTTTCTCGCTCAATTTAGCGAGGAATGTCTTACGTCATATGACGTCACATGACACTGTGACGACACGTGAAGCGTTTCCCAGTTACATTCATCGGAATAACGTCTCCGCTAGACATGCGAAAAAAATTGTTACGGTATAAGACAATGTGATGCCATATAACGATGTGACGTCACAATTACGTGACGTCACAGTGTTGCGTTACAGGATGTCACGTCACTGCAGAATTTCCCACTAATTTAGCGCGGAAATAACGTCGCGTGAGAATATAATCGTTGTGCCCTTGCCAAACTTAAATGGTGATAAATAAATATTCCCCTGGTGTTTTGCGTCCTCCAAGGAGTAGAGTAGATGGTTGGACTAGCTAGCTTAGGAACTTTGATTAAATTTTAGCGCTCAAAAACAAGGACAAAAAGACGAGAATCAACGCGCTGTGGTGTCTGATTCTCGTCTTTTTGTCCTTGTTTTTGAGCGCTAAAATCTATTCCAAGCTCCAAGGAGTGTGCGTCATCGTACTGCGCAGGCGCAGAAGTTGCGCGCAAGCGCAGTGCGAGGCCCCAAGATTCTTTGGAGACTCAAAACATTGGGGGCTTCTATTCTAAAGCTTACTAATCGAGAGTATAATTTCTAATAGAGGTGATACAGCGACCAGGCTGTCACCTCCCTTCATTTGAAACACACAGCAAGGAACGGACAATTTTTATTTTTCTCACGTGTCTGCTCAATGTGTAGCTCTGCGGGCCATATAAATGAAATAATTCGAAACTGAACTTTGCCAAAATTTAAAAGTGCCAGATTATTAGTCCCCTATCTTAGCCGCTAACAACACAAGAAGTCTGAAATATAATTGAATCAACATATTAGTCCAGTTCATTTTATATAAAAAAGTAGCCGTGTATGGTAATTTATTGTTTGTGAATGCCGTAAACAAACTTAAAACCACCTGTATTTTGTCGTGAAGACAAATCCCGTAGGACGCAAAATAACTTCTTTGTCTGGGAACGCACGTATGGCATCCTGGAGGTTACATTAGGAGCTCGGCGTGTTACTTACCATGCTAGGTTATGTCCCGCTCAATGTAGCGGGAGAACGTGCGTTTTGCCGTCATACATTTGTGCCCGGGGCAAGCCCCCTTCGCGAAACAGCGTCAACTGTCACTGTTATTTCCCGCTAAATATGGCGGGCCACACTATACACATACAGCGATCTGCTGTGAAATCTTGCCAATAACGGCTTTGCCGCGAAAGTCCTCTCGTGTTACTGTCCAGAAATAAGCGTACCGTGCGCCCGAGTCTTCGAAGATGCGGGCCCATTCCTTGGGGTCGAAGAACTCGCATGTGAAGTCCTTGGCGAAGGCCGGGTACGTGAATCCCGGGGGATAGTTGTCCTTCATGAACTGGGGCACCTTCTTGTTGGTGGGGGAGCCCTGGTCCATCCAGTACCACCAGAACCACTCGGATACGTAGCCGGGCACGGAGTAGACGCCCCAGTGCAGGAAAATGCCCACCTTGGCCTGGTCGTACCAGGCCGGCAGCGGACGGGCGTCCAGAGACTCCCAGGTTGGCTCGTACCTCGCCACCGCCGCCGAGGCCCACAGGTGCACTAACAGGACCACCGCGAGGAACCGACCTTGAAAAGAGACGACGCCGACGGTGCACTTTTCTTAAGGCGTGCTGCTCAACGGGGCCCCCTATCCGCGGCCTACGATCAACGAAAAGACCCTAATAGGCTCTTTCGTAAATTGAAGGCCGCGGATAGTGGGCCCTACGGGGACATGCTCGATCCGTGCTCGACGCCACGGCACAGGCTTCAACTAGCGACGCATACCTTTTGTGAACATTCTACGAAATATTTTTAATATGTTCTTTACTGTCCGAAACGCTTCAAGGCAAAGCGTCGGCCTATGAGGATCCTGAGATGGCGGATTGGAATCCCGGCCGAGGCGCCAGCAATCTGACGGATGATTGTCTTTAAAGCCGTTTTTGAGGTGCAACGAGTCGCGTAGAACTTGGCATTGCGCTGCGCCCACAGCCTCGTCGTTGACCCTAGTTTCGGCCCTCAATGGCGACGAGACAGTTTAATTAAAGCGTTGAAGCGGAGATCTCTCAAGAGTTGTTGAAGCCAGCATCAACCGAAATCAGATGAGACGCTACGCGCGGAAAGTGCCAGCAACCGGGTGCCATGGCAACAAGACACTCTTTCATTTTCATTTGTTCCTTTTTATCTCAGTTGCGCACTCTGGTTGGTGGAGACGCTGTCGACACTGGCTACTCGGGCGCACGCCAGTTGGACGCTATCTCATTGATCGCGTCGCAGCGTTCGTTGTGTTGCGTGTTCCCACCTAAAAAGTACCTTACAGCGTGCACCCTACAAATACCACCTATAAGAGTGGAACGACGGCCGTGCCGAATCCTCCCCTAGTAGAGTGGTTTATTAAGCGGAGCTTTTAAGGGCTAGTTTCCCCAGGATCGTGTCCGCCAGCAAATAAAAGTCGACACAACACTCCGGACAGCTAAAGCCATATATGAGCGACGGCGGCAACCAGACAACTGGCTTTCCGGTTGCCTGGTTGCCGCCATTGCTCATAGATGGGGGCAACCTTTCTAGACTTTCCACTTTGCCTTGCCGACTTGCGGCCGGGCATTACTTCATTCTCACCATAGTACAGCTTCGCTGGTCTTTCTTCTTCACCAGAGTGGAAAGGCTGAAAGCTTTTTGGCGACCCTTCTCCTCCCACACTCGCCCTCTCTCCGTCAGAACACGTGAGCAGGTGACGCCAATGAATGCGGTACGGTTAACGGGATCGCGGATGCAAATAGGGTACAGCGGCCACCGTATAGCGCGTTTGAGCGGACCTTCGTTGTCGTCTTTTTCGATGTATTCTCATGGAGTACCCTGCACCCCCCAGTAAAGTAGCTGGGGGGATCGGTGGCTGAGTGGGCTTGCGCACACCAGCTCGGAGCACGTGGAGTGAAAGTTCGCGTTGCAGAACCCAAGGATCCTGTGTTCAAACACCACCCCTGCCCGTATCGATCTGGGTGAGCATCGTACCGACGTGCGGTTGTGCATCACCACTGCGTGGTGCACGTTAAAGACCCAAGGCTAGCAGTCGTACTGCAATGGCTAAATTGCTTATCTGCAGTGGGTAACAATGTCGCCATGATCTGGCAGACTAAACTCCTGCTGCATAAAAGCTAACGGCTAATTTGTTTGTATATTTTGAAGTAGTTGGCTGGCAGGGGGGTTCGGTGGTCGAGTGGGCTAGCTCACACCAGCTCGGAGCATGTGGAGCAAAAGCTCGCGTTGCAGAACCCACGGATCCTGGGTTCAATTCCCACCCCTGCCCGCTTCCATCTGAATGAGCATCGTACCGGCGTGCGGTCGTTTATCACTACTACGTGGTGCACGTTAAAGACCCCTGGCTAGCAGTCGTACTGCACTGGCTAAATTGCTCTTTTAAGCCTAGTTCACATGCAGCGGTTTTGGCCCTAGAGCGGCGCGATTTCTGCCGTCGCGGCGCTCTGGCCAGCACCAGCAATTCTGCGGCACGAGCGCCGCGACGGCAGAAATCGCGCCGCTCTAGGGCCAAAACCGCTGCATGTGAACTAGGCTTTACGGTGGGTAACAATGCCGCCATGTTCTGGCAGACTAAACTCCTGCAGTATAAAATAACTAAGGACTATTTTGTTTTTAAAGTTGTTGGTACTACCTTAAGCAGAAACCTTGCGCTTGCAGCCTAGTAGTCCATGGTATTGTCGTTCCAGTTGATTTACGCGAAAAAGGGCTGAGATGCAAACATTTAAACGAAGCAATACTCAGTCCCGACGAACACAAAATAATGCAAAATGTGTCAGCAGTTTACATGAGCACAGCTCCTTTAGAGCGCTAATGATTCGACCAGCATGAAATTATACGGCGCATGTAGCGCTCGAGGCATGGGAACGGGGGCTCGCAGCCGTGGGATGCTGGCAGGCCGTATCCCAGAGAGCTGCGGGCCGCGTTTTTGAGACCCCTGATCTAGAATAATCAAAGCATGGGAACAGCCTCCATTACCTTTACGTAACGTCATCACATCCTGCTGCGCCAACTCAGCGATTTATTTATTTGTTTATTTAATTCAGGTACCCCACAGCGCCCGTGAGGGCATTATAGTGGGGGAGGGGCGAAACAGAAGAAAAGCAAATGACGCCACAGCACATCAGTAAAAAGCACGCTAGCCTGCAGCTAGGCACAGATCACCGGAAACCAGCGCAACAAGAAACGTAACAGTGAAACGCGCACATTGAAACACAAGTACACACTAAACCAGAGTTAGCAGAAAGAAAAAAGCCCATATTCAGAGCTAAAGGCAAAGCAAAGCTTAAAACAAATTGGGGTTATTGTTTTCCAAGGCTAATTCATACGGTAATTCATTCCAGTGCTGAATGGTGCTCGGGAAGAAAGAATGTTTGAAAATGTCAGTTTTGGATGAGAAAGGCCTGATTTTCCTCGAGTGATCTCGTCTCAAGGAAATGAAGTGTAGTTCAAGTAAATACGTTCCTTTATCAATGCCAGAGAGTTCATAATGAATCACATGTAGAAGTTTTAAACGAAGGCTTAGACGGCGAGTAGTATGGAGAGGCTGCCACTTGGAGTTCATCTTTTAAGGCAGTCACACTTTGGCGCCAGAACCTAGCAGCTGTGTTCTGAATACTATCTATGCTATTTATAAGGTACTGTTGGTAAGGGTCCCAGAACTCGGAGGCGTATTCAAGAATCGGTCTGATGTTTGTGAGGTAAAGTGTATTTTTTACTTCGGGCGTGGATAATCTTCAAAGTTGCGCTTGATGAATGCTAACATCCGGTTTGCCTGCGCAGTCATATATCCTATATGGTGATTCCACGAGAGATTATGAAAGAAGTAAACGCCCAGGTATTTTATATGCAGTGATAGGTTGATATCGATACTGTTTACGTTGTACGTAAAAATGACTGGTTTTTTCTCCTCGTGAACCTCACGAAGTGACTTTTCGCCACGTTCAGTTCCATCCCCCAAGTGGAACACCAACTCGCGATACGATCGATGTCCACCTGGAGGGCAACACAGTCTTCGGGAAAACTTACCGAGCGGTGAATTACGCATTCATCTGCATACAACCGTATAGAGGATGAGACGTTTTCAACAATGTCATTAATAAATATCAAAAATAAAAGTGGTCCGAGGGGGAAAACCGGAAGTAACTAGGGTAAAATTGGACAATTTGCCCTTAATTACCACTGCTTGGCTTCTACAACTTAAATAGTCAACGAGCAATCCAAAAGTGTGAGAATATATTTTGAGGGCTGATAATTTATGGAGAATATATTTGTGTGGTACAAGTTGAAAGGCCTTCCGAACGTCAAGAAGAGCACAATCTGTCTGAAGGCCTTTGTCTTATGCATATGCCAATTCATGGTAAAACTCCACTGTCTGGGTTGTAAAAGATAATCGCGGGCGAAAAGCGTGTTGGAAAGTGGAAAGGGGTAGAACAATTTTTTTGGTTTAAATATTTTACAATGCTGGTGTTAATGATATGCTCCATTAGTTTGGAGGGCGTGCTAAGGAGAGAGATAGGCATATACTTTTCTACTTTGTCTTCGGGATCGTTTTTATGAACGGCACTACATGTGCTTCTTTCCAATCGCAAGGCAAAGACTGTCTGAGAGTGATTTAGTGAACAAGACACGAAAAGATAGCGATCACACTTGAGCGTTCTCTGAGGACCCTATTTAGGATGTCATCAGGACCGGACGATCATTCGGGGTTAAGTGATTGTAAAAGTTTAACAAGACCATTACAATTGAACATAAGTTCCTCCATATAGTGTCTCAGGGTAGCGGTAGGGGACGTAGCGGAACAATCATCAGAGCCAGGCGAAGAAAAGACTGACTGGAAATAGCTACTGAAACTTGTTGCCTTCCCTGGTCGTCGTGCAGGGTCTGACCAGATACATCAATAGACGGGATTGGAACTTGATCCTTCTTGTTGCTCTTTACCAACTTCCAATATTCTTTGGGACTTCTCTTTAGGCGGTCGCTTAGTGTGCTATGGAAAGTCGTCTTAGCAATTTGATGTTTGCTTCTAAAGGGTTTCCCCAGGTCACGTAACCTTGCCAGTGACCCTGCATTAGACGTTCTGGGATATGTTAAGTATGGGCGTTGCTTCTTATATAATTAAACTTGAACCCAAGACCGACGTCTAGCGTCCTTAGACTCCTTAGATTAGAGAGTTTTATAACACTTAAGGCCTATTCACACATGCAGCGGAGTGTTACAAACACAGCGCTGACCTCGCGCTAAGCGCGTGCTGACGGCAGCCTTTACCAGTTTTTTATCGCACCGTCAAAACTGTTGCTCATGGCAGACGATAAGTAGCTTACGCCACGTAAGCAGCGCTACATGAGCGCTGCGCTGTATGTGAGAACCGGCCTTTACAGTCCTTAGATTAGAGAGTTTCATAACAGACACTCGGGTAATCCAACGCTTTGGTCACCCGAGTATCTTGGGGAACCACACTGTGCGTGCGCAGAAGATCTGCGCAAGTTCTGTGCGACGCCCCCAGCTCTTGGGGGGACCCGAAACACTGGGGCCCCTTTTATAAAAGGGCAACT